TCTGCTCTGCCGGACTCGCCCGGGGGGCCCCGCCAGCACTTCCTGCCCCCGTCCGACGAGAGGAGATGGATCCCCCTGGGAGCAGAGCCGGCGCCCGCCCCGCGCTTTTCCGACTACCGGGCGGGGCGGGAGGGGGCCGGCCTGGAGCTCTGATGTCTCCCTCCTCCTGCCGGCGATCGACTCTCTTTCTAATTTAACGCCCTGTATTTATTTACTCGCCCGGGGGGCCCCGCCAGCACTTCCTGCCCCCGTCCGACGAGAGGAGATGGATCCCCCTGGGAGCAGAGCCGGCGCCCGCCCCGCGCTTTTCCGACTACCGGGCGGGGCGGGAGGGGGCCGGCCTGGAGCTCTGATGTCTCCCTCCTCCTGCCGGCGATCGACTCTCTTTCTAATTTAACGCCCTGTATTTATTTGAAAATCCAAAACCCGAAGGGGCCTCAGCCCAGCGGAGCCCGCCGGAGGGAGAGGAATGCGAAGCCAAAGGTTTGAGCTCCTGGCCCGGGTTTTTTTTCGTTGACCTACCAGGACTGGGGGTGCGGGGGAGGGATTGTGTAGGGGTGCGCTCTCCCCCCCCCATGACCCGATCCGAGCCCTTCCTTCCCCGGACCAGGACTGGCCACGAAGGCGTCCCGGAGGCGAGGGTTGTGGCTTCACCTACAGAACCGGACTGGGCAAGCCCTTTCTCTGTCCCATTCCGGACTCACAGACACGCGCGGTGCCTCCGCCGCCTGGAAGTCTATTTATTTCGGGGGGGGGGCACTCCCCGCGGGCTGGGCTCTGTTCCCGGTGGCCAGGCCCATGGTGTCCTCTGCGGCCCCTCCGAGTCTCCAGCTTCCCCTCGCTCCGTTTTTATTTATGTTACAGCCAATATTTTATTACTCGCATAAAACATTTATCCAAGAGCCCGCCTCGTCTCCTGTTTTTCCCCGCTCTTCACTTTCAGGAGGCAGAGGAAGGGAGCGGGGTGGGAGGAGGCGTCGGGAAATGCAGGTTCGGGCCCCAGGTGCAGGCGGAGCGGGAGGTCCGGTCCGGTTCGCTGCTCTCCCTCCGGCTTCCCCACACAAACACACCGTCGTGCTGCGTTTTTGGCCTCCTCGGGCGGGGCAGAAAGCCTTTCCCGGCGCAAGCCAGGCTCCCGCTCTCGGAGCTCCGAAGCTGGTCCCTTCAGCCCGCAGTCAGCGGTGGTGGCCCAGAGGGATCGGACTACGTGCAACCGGGAGCCGGAGCCTCCTTCTCCCGGTTGGCACCCGCACGCACCCCCTACCCTCCCCGGGCGCCCATCTTTCCCTCCACCCAGAAACAAGTTGCCGCTTCTTGAGACGAGCGGCACGAAGTGAGGCAAACAGGATTCCCTGAAGGAGGCCGGGAGCCTCGACTGCCCAGGCAGCTGCTTCGGGTTAGGGGCTCAGGACAGGGCAGGGACCCTTGGCAAGGCTGGCATAGATCCGCCACCTCTGGGCGGACCTCCAGGAGACCGGCTGGCCTTCACGTCTCTGTTCTCGGGCGGCGGCGGCGGCAAGTTTTCCTGCCAGCTCCTGCCAGGCACCCCTTCGCAGCTCCGGGGTCGCCGGGGGAAGCCGCCACCCCTTCGAAGGCTGCCAGCCAGAAGCCGGAGGCAAGGTCTCCTCGGGGCTCCGGCTGCGAGGAGGGAGTGCCAGGCGCCAGGCGTTCATCCCCGGCATTTACCTGCTGGGGAACCTCAGTCCCTGCGCGTGGCCATTGCTGGAAGTCGTGCTCGCGTGCTCTCCGACTCTCTTGGTTTCGGAAGGCTGTTCGCTTGAGGGTTGCGGTGTTGACGCTCCCGCGCGCACCTGACAAGGTAAACTCATCCAACGGGAAGCGGAATAGGGTTGGTTTCCTTGCTTACGGGATGGAAGCCGGTGTCAGCAGAGCGATCCTGGGCAATATGAAAAGTAGCTTTAAATGAAAGCAAGAGGAGAAACTTCCAGACTTGTCTGGTGCCTTTTAGATGTTGTAATATTTTTAATCTAACGTGTCCGATTCGGCCCCCCCTCCGCCAGTGTTTGTAAAACGAGGAGCCCAGGAATGGAATCCTCAAGCACTGTTGCCACAATCCAAGGAAGTTCTTCTCGCCTCCCCCCCCCTTTTCCTTATTTCCTCCGCGTAGCCGCAGGAGCGCCTTGAAATGAAGACCAGCTCAGGCGGCGAGGTCGGGGTTTAGAGGGAAACTTTTTGCTGGTCTGAGCCTTTCTCGGGTGATTGGCTTCGCACCCAAATGGACTCCGGTCTCCCTGTCAAGCACTGTTGCCACAATCCAAGGAAGTTCTTCTCGCCTCCCCCCCCCTTTTCCTTATTTCCTCCGCGTAGCCGCAGGAGCGCCTTGAAATGAAGACCAGCTCAGGCGGCGAGGTCGGGGTTTAGAGGGAAACTTTTTGCTGGTCTGAGCCTTTCTCGGGTGATTGGCTTCGCACCCAAATGGACTCCGGTCTCCCTGCGATCTTCAACCTCCCCCCCCCCCCGCCTACTGCTCTTTCTTCCGCACAATAATCCCTTGCTTACCTTTGAATTCAAAGATCTATAGGAAGAGAGAGAGATATGCCTGAGGGGAAAATGCGTGTGTGTGGAAATACACGTTTGACGATTCTTTGCATTCTTTAAAATACAGCGTAGAGTTTTATGTTATTGTCTTTATTGCGATTTTTTAGAATGTTTGATCGTGGGAACGGTAAGGAAGGAAGGAAGGAATTGTAAACAATGCAAAGAGGTGCCATAGAGATGAGCTCCTGCCCTCCCTGGAAGCTGAGGAAGCACCGGGAAGGGAACCCTGTGGAAGCAAAAGGTTCAGGCTGGAAGGGTTGAAGCGGCATGTTTCTTTCCAGAGGAAGCCAAAATCTTGCAGCGCTTCAGCGCTCTGACTTCCTCACCATCCTCATCATCTTTGCCAGAAAGCCGCATGTGGACCTGCAGTTCTTGGGCGAATTCTGAGAAGGTGGGAAGTGTGCCTCCTGAGAATTATCCCAAGACTTAGGTAGCCCTGCTGGGCTCCAATGTGGATGGCAAGAAAACTGGTCATCAGAAGCCGGTGAGGAGCAGAAACGTCCCTCTTGGAAAGCCTATAGGCTAGCTTGTTTTATTCGTCTTCTTTCCTGCTTTTCCTCCAATACGTTCAGGATGGCACAAATGGCTTTCCACCTTCCCGCTATTATCCTCATCACAGCCCCTTGTTGCAGGTCAGCTGAGAGAGTGGGACTAGCCCCAGGTGACCTAGTGAACCCATGGCTAAGTAAAGATTTGCACCCAAGTCAGCCGAGTCACAGCCCAGGGCTGCCCTCAATATCCCACAGAGGCTTTCCAAATGTCAGCCACTGGATGAATTCAGAGCTTCTCTCCATCCATGCACTTCTTCCTCCTGATCGCCACCTTCCTTCCAACCCATGGCAGGGGCTACATTTCTGTCCATCTCTTTGTCTGTCTGTCTGTCTTGTTCATGTCAAGTACCATTCCTCTATGGACAGAAGGGACACTGTTCCTTTCGAAGGAGTGTTCTGCTGAGCAAGGGAGCATTTGATGTATTTATTCATAAAGCCTATATATAAAGCTTATAGACTGCCCATGTAGTAGAAAGGTAGCTTGCTCTTGCCTACACCCCCCCTGCCATCACCCAGATAAGTCCCCCTGCCAATTATGAATTACCCACCTAAGTCTCCCCACCCCAGTCTTGGAAATGTTTGGGTCGCAAGGTTTTCAGGAATCAGCCAGATTTTGCCAGCTGGGACAAGTGAAATTTTGGGCTTTCTGAGCTGAAAGGCCAAGACGGGAAACTCTGAAACGGTCAGCCAAATAGGGGTGGGGGTGGGGGGTAAACCGTGTTTGCCTCTCCCAGCCATAGCAACCAAAGGTTTTGTGGCACCTTAAAGATGATCAAGTTCTTTTTTTTTTAAATTGATTTTTAAAAAAACGACTATCAAGATCTATTTGCATTCAAAAATGCATTTTATAGCCCAGGAAAGCTTCTTCCCACTAAGACTTGTGAGGAACCAGAAGGTCTTTGTTATTCTGTCCCTGAGTAATGTACCATACTTCCTCTCCCTCTACCTCCTGCATCTAGGTTAGACCTGATCAGGGGAAGGGAGAAGGGCACCCAGAGGGAGCCAAACCCTAACGGCCAGGTGAGCACTTTCCCCCTTCTTACCCTTTAAAGATGAGTTGCCTTCAAGGCTGCTTCAGCCCATGAGCCAGCTCTTAGAATGCCCCCCTCCCCCTCTTCCTGTAGACCTCACTGACAAGTTGTATAATTTTGGGACCTTGCTTGATTGGCCTCTTTCTTCCCCTCCCGACCCTCAAAGGCAGGCTGGCTTGCAGGATCCCTTTCCCATGACCTCCACCCTACCTCTACCCCACTCCCACTCCAGTTCCCTGGGTCTTCTAGCAACAAAGCCAAGGAGGTCTAATAGCCAAACAAGGGGCAAAGATCTCTTGGGAGACCAAGGCAGAGACCTCGAGCCCAGGCCCATTGCTCTGGCCCAAGCAGGCCCCTCTTCGGCCAGGAGAGGAAGCCTCTGGGCCTGGCAGCTTGTCCCGAGAGACAACGTTGTTGCTCCGATTGATTGGCAAGGGCAGCCTGTGTAGCCAGGGTGGGCCCTGCCTTCTGGCAAAGAGAAAAGGCACTCGGACCGCATGCCCCTCCCTCTGTGCCGCTGTTGAAGGTTAAGGAGTTAGTTCAGACCAGATGCTCCCTCTGCTTGTGTGGGTTTCCAACTGGCTTTCCATCCTTGACCTGCACGTGGGTCACTGCACAGGGTTGCTCTTTTGCCGGGAAGGAGGGCGCTCCTCTGCCCCACGGAACAGGGAGTGGGCCTGCTTTGTTGAGCCTACCTTCCCTCCTCCTGCCCACCCCCCACCCTCCAGGCATCTGGGCTGAATCTTCCAGGGAGGAGATTTCTTCTCTTTGTGTCCATTTCAGGCTGTGTGAGCTGATGTGCTCCATGTACTGTAAGATGAAGGGAGTCAGGCAGAAGGGAAGTATCACATCGGCTTAGGCTGCTGAAACAAAAAGCCACAAAGGCAGCATCTCCACCCCGCCTCTGCCCCTGCTGAACTGTGGCAAGCTCAGGCCCTGGAAAATGTACAGAGAGAGACAGAGAGAGAGAGAGAGAGAGAGAGAGAGAGAGAGAGAGAGAGAGAGAGAGAGAGCCTGCAGACAGCCTGACCCGGGCCTCATGAGGGCCTGGCAATGCTGACTGAACTGGAAATTCTGTGTGAGCTAATGGGGCGGAGCTCTCTCCCCACCCGCCCCCGCTTTCCAAGGATCCTTCTGAAGATTAGAGGAAGGGTCCCTTGGAGCAACGAGAGGGAAGCTGCCTCTCTCTCTCTCTCTCTCTCGGGACAAGCTGCCAGGCCCAGAGGCTTCCTCTCCTGGCCGAAGAGGGGCCTGCTTGGGCCAGAGCAATGGGCCTGGGCTCGAGGTCTCTGCCTTGGTCTCCCAAGAGATCTTTGCTGCTTGTTTGCCCCTTAGACCAATGGGCTGGAGGCTCCCATTAAACCAGGCTTGCTCCGGCATAATCACAAAGTCCGTTTCCAGGGCAGGTCTGTGACTCTGTTTGGTTTTAAGCATTTTAGGCGTGTGGTGCCCCCAGGCCTGGAGCTAAGAGTGCCCTGTAGCTCTGAGACAGGGAGCAGCGGGCTCATTTTCTTGACCATGCCTTTGACATTCTGCAAGCAAATCACTGACCCCCAGATACATAATAGGTGCCCAAGGTTACAAAGGTAGTAATAAGCATGGATAGCAGGTTTTAATTTTTTTTTCTAAATGCGCTTTGTTGTCATTTGGGAAGGAACCAAAATTTAATGTTCAATGTAACTGTATTGAAGAGTTTTATTTTACTTTGCTTTCTTTATCGAAACATTGCCTTTATGCAAATATGGTGCTCCTTGGTTTTTAAAAACAATTACCATATAGCAATTAGGGTTTTGTTTGCCCTGTTTTCTATCAAATGGCTTGTAAAATACAGATGTTATTTATTCGTGAGGATATAGTATGTTGGACATAAATAGAAATCTAAATTCAGGTTGAAAAGATATACTAATATTATACTAGTTTAATTGAAATTATTTTTAATAAGAGGAAAGATAATTAAAAACAAGCCAAGATTAAAAGTTTTTCTTTTCCCAGTAATAAAGTGGAGGGCCCCTGTTTAAGGTAAAATGACCTACAGAGTTCAGTTAAAATATCTGTAGTTAATCATTTTGTCTTTAATATTTGCTTTGAATGAGGCTTTCCATGAATGCTGCTGGAAAGAGTCTACAGAAGCAAACTTAAACATTTTTAAATAACTCATTTTAGGATTTTCTACTGCA